GGACAAGAGGCGCAAAGCGGGCACTGGACAAGAGGCGCAAAGCGGGCACTAGACAAGAGGCGCAAAGCGGGCACTGGACAAGAGGCGCAAAGCGGGCACTGGACAAGAGGCGCAAAGCGGGCACTGGACAAGAGGCGCAAAGCGGGCACTGGACAAGAGGCGCAAAGCGGGCACTGGACAAGAGGCGCAAAGCGGGCACTGGACAAGAGGCGCAAAGCGGGCACTGGACAAGAGGCGCAAAGCGGGCACTGGACAAGAGGCGCAAAGCGGGCACTGGACAAGAGGCGCAAAGCGGGCACTGGACAAGAGGCGCAAAGCGGGCACTGGACAAGAGGCGCAAAGCGGGCACTGGACAAGAGGCGCAAAGCGGGCACTGGACAAGAGGCGCAAAGCGGGCACTGGACAAGAGGCGCAAAGCGGGCACTGGACAAGAGGCGCAAAGCGGGCACTGGACAAGAGGCGCAAAGCGGGCACTGGACAAGAGGCGCAAAGCGGGCACTGGACAAGAGGCGCAAAGCGGGCACTGGACAAGAGGCGCAAAGCGGGCACTGGACAAGAGGCGCAAAGCGGGCACTGGACAAGAGGCGCAAAGCGGGCACTGGACAAGAGGCGCAAAGCGGGCACTGGACAAGAGGCGCAAAGCGGGCACTGGACAAGAGGCGCAAAGCGGGCACTGGACAAGAGGCGCAAAGCGGGCACTGGACAAGAGGCGCAAAGAACGCCCTCCCTCCCCTTCCCCCACCCTTCACCCCTGGGCCCTGGCAAGCGGTGCAGAGCATGCACCAGATGATGCCTTGAAAGATGCTGGCGGAGAAGAATGATGACTGGAAGAGAACAACACTAGAGAGATGTGCGACCACACGCGTTTTGAGGCGCCTCAGAAGCCAGCAGGGCACCCACCCACCAGATAATGCCTTGGAAGATAGATGTTGGCCACGAAGAAGAGTTTGAGTCAACTCAGAAAACACGTTGAGTGGATTCAAGAAATGCAGAGCACGTACCAGATGATGCCTTGGAAGATGTTGGCCACGAAGGAGGAGGACTGGAAGAAGACGACGAAGAGGATGGTGTGTATTGCACTCGCACGAATATTGAGGCGCGCCTCAGAACTCAGCAGGGCACACACGCACGTACCAGATGATCCCTTGGAAGATGTTGGCGACAAAGAAGGAGGACTGGAAGAAGACGACGAAGAGGATCATGTGCGTCCATGCGAACTGCCCGAACTGGTACTTGTACTGCCCGGGCCGCAGACTCAGAATGAACCACACAAAACCTGTTTGCGGGGATGAGGAGGGGAGAAGGGGGGCAGACGAGTGGGGAGGGGGGAAGGGGGGGGGAGGGAAGGGGAGAAGGAGAGGGAGGTGTGAGGGGGGGAGGGAAGGGAAGGGAGACAGGGAGAGGGAAGGGAAGAGAGACAGGGAGAGGGAAGGGAAGGAAGAAAAAAAAAAGGGGAGAGGACATGGAGGAGGAAGGCAAGGGGAACGAGACAGAAAGGAGAGAGGAAAGGGTGCAAAGCTGAGAATGAAAAAGGAGGAGCGAAGGTGAGGGAACGAGGAGGGCACAAGGGATCGGGGGAGGAGGTGAGTGGAGAAGAAGGGCGTGTGTGGGGCTGGGAGGGTGGGCCGAGGGAGGGGGACGAGTAGGCCAGGACGAGGTGATGGCGTGGTACTGCAGGAAGGAGATGAGCACGTGGCTTCTGAGACGTCACAAGAGGAGAGGGTAGACTTTTTGAAACGTCCCAAAAAGGTTGTGGGAAGGGAGCTCACCTATGATGTAGAGCGAGTGGGAGATGATGGCGCGGTACTGCAGGAAGGAGATGAGCACGTGGCTTTTGCAACGTCTCACAAGGGCACAGGAATATTTAGACGTCTCAAAAGGGCTTTGGATACTCACCTATGATGTAGAGCGAGTAGGAGATGATGGCATGGTACTGCAGGAAGGATATGAGCACGTGGCGGTGCAGCGGGCGCGTGTCGTCCGACGTGAACGACACCATCAGCTGCTTGCGCATGAAGCTGCCGTACACGTACACCATGGCCGTCACGAAGAAGTGCCTGGGGGAGGGGGGGAGGGGAGGGGTGGGGGAGTTGAACGGGGGTTGCTTGAGGTCGTGCGTGGTGGATGGTGTGGAGGGGGTGCTTGCGGTGCTTGCGCATGAAGCTGCCATACACGTACACCATGGCCGTCACGAAGAAGTGCCTGGGGGAGAGAAGAGGGGAGTTGAGAGGGGAGGATTGCTTGAGTAGATGGTGGTTGGTGGGGGGATGCTCGAGGTGCTTCAGGTGTTTGCGCATGAAGCTGCTGTACACGTACACCATGGCAGTCAAGAAGAAGTGCCTGGGAGACGGGAGACGGGGGGTGGTGGGTGGTGGAAAGGGCATCTCAAAAGACTGATTGCCCATACACGTACACCATGGCCGTCACGAAGAAATGCAAGGGAGACGGGAGAGGAGGGGTGGGGTGGGGCGGCTGCTTGTGAGGCGTCTCAACAGGCTGCTTCGGGCTTGAGGCGCCTCAAGAGGGTGTTTGCGCATGAAGCTGCCGTACACATATACCATGGCAGTCACGAAGAAGTGCCTGGGAGAAAGGAGGTGTGCGCGTGCGGCGTGGTGGGGGAGGGAGCGGGGGTTATAGAAAGGGGCGAACAGAGGGGGAGGGAGGAATGATGACACGGCGAGAGGATGTGAGGAGGAAATGCAGTTGAACAATTGACTGGAGCATGAGACGGGAGGCATAGAACAAAAGTGATTGCATGGGGAACGCACCGGCTGGGCCCGATGGAAAGGGGAATTGCCGGCACAAGGAACGAAATTTCTACCGGAGGAAACATCGAGATGGAATGGGGCGCGAAGGAATAGGACAAGGGCGCACTGCGATCGAATTGAACAGGAATCTGTAGGAGAGGTACCCGTCTGATTCACCCATGCCCGAAGTGTTTCCCTTGCGAAAACTATGGAGGAACGGGAACGCATTGAAGGGAGGCTATACCATTCCTCTTGCCAGCAAAAGGAACGGAAATCCTACCGCATGTTTGCTCGGTCATATCCGAATTCCAACCCTACTCACCCATCCACACCTCGTTTCACCCCTCGTACGTCTTCCATTCTCATCCCCCCTTCTAAACATTTTCCATTCCTCATCTTCCACGCTGCCTCCCTCAACACAACCACAGCTACGTCTCACCAGTTCAGGAACCGGAACGCGGCGTGATGCTGGTGCGACCGCGACCGAATCGCGCGCGTCGCGAGCCCGAAGAGCTCGTGCGTCATGAGGATCTGCAGCGCGATGATGAGCGCCCAGATGTACACGTGGCCCATGTACACGATCACCGCGAACCCGCCAATCATCCACACGCTTGATCGCACACGTGTCCACATCCCCACGTACTTCCGCTTATCGTTTATCAACAGCGGTTGTCCCGCTTCCGCTGAACCAGCTCCCCCGCCAGCCCCGCCCCTGTCCTTCCCCCCTCCGCCCTCCCCGTCCCCGTCCCCTTCCCCCGTTGTTCCGCCGCTTCCCCGCGCGCGACTCCTTGGGGAGAGCATTTCATGCCCCAAGCGCGACCCCACAACTCTCCGCCTAACCAGCCCCTCCCCTCCGCTCAACCTGTCACTATCCCCTCCGTCCCGATCTCGCTCAAACTCCGATTCGCGGTCCGTGTCCCTGTCCGTGTCGCGTTCCCTGTCGCTCTCATCCCCTGCACTCGGATCGAAACGGCCGTCTTGGCGCCACTGAGGGGGAGAGGCCTGCTGCAACCGCGGCTGCTCTTCGCCCTGCATCGCGCCGACCCTCCCGCTAGTTTCCGAAAATTCTCAAGATGCAACAGTCGTACCCGCCGCTGCGTGTAGCTTATCTCGTGCTACCTCGATCGTACAACTTTTGAGCCTCCGCGTTTGACCTACGCCGCAGAGGTCACGTGCTACCCGAACGCGATCGACAGACTCCCGCACCGCGTCAATATCCCAAAACAAAAACTCCTGTTGTGGTGACTAAACGATGTTATGTTTATGGTCTTGATCCCAGCCTACCGCACCACAAAAACTCCTGCCCACCAACCCTACGCTGATGTCGCTCGCAAAAGGTTGTGATGACCCCCGTGGTCTACAACTCTAAGCAGCAGAAGCGTGAAGATCAGCGAACCAAGCCTACCCACCTTAGATTCACATGCTTCATCACGCACACCTTGGTGCTGCTCGGCTGGGCTGTGGCGTGTGAAAATGGATTCGCTTGCTGCTGTGTGTCTTCTCCAGATTTGTCTGGCGTTTCGTGGTGGGGTTCTGGTCAGGTCAGGAGGAAGGAGGAGCGAACTGCTACTGTAGGAGAAAAGTGCTGGCCTGCTTCCAAATCGGATTCCTGCCCAATCAAGAACGTCTGTTCACCTTGTTCGTCCAATCAACGCTTCTCCCCATTCCCTGGGGTTGCTGCGGAACGAAGGAGACAGTGGGGAAGAATTGCGGGCAACTGAAGGTCTGACAGAGAGGTCGCGACGGCTTGCCACTCGCAGCTTCAGTGACAGGAATTTCCCGCGTGTACCAGCTATCCTCGAAACGAATAGCATCCGTACTTGTTCAACTCACATTACAATTTGTACATCAGCGCAAGAAAATATTAGCCGTATTTTACTACCCATAAATGATGGATTTCATCAAACAATTTATCCGTAAACTAGTTATGCTATTACCTGTATGCTTAATTAAATTTATAAAATTTCGGTATTCATAAGTATGAAAAGAAATTCCATTCACATATTCAGAAGCCAAATCGTTTTCTCGATAAGGTTGTTTCTGAACTATGGGTGAGTGCAACATTTTGTGAAGTACTCGCTGGCGAAGACGCCTTCTGCTTGGCGGGCTCATGCTTCCCTTTCCCCACCATCATCACCCCACTTCACTGCTCCCGTTCCCACTCTTCTTCCTGTCAGCACTGCATCTTCAGATTATTGCTCGTCTGTTCGCCACCTTCGTCGCGGCCAGTCTTGTAAGATCTCGGCTGTCAAAATGGGGCGCGCACTCGAGGACGATGACGAATGCTTTCCCAGAGGTCCGTGTTTCGACTCCCTGCAGCCATCCTTTCCCCGACGTCCGTGTATCAATGCCCTTCATAGTGATCGTTTGCGCTTCAAATAGGCATTCTAGAAACTAGGTAGTTTTCAATTCCAGATTCGATAGGCGTTAGCTACTATTGAACGCCAGTGTTTCAGTCTGTTTCTCCACCTCCCCCTACTTTCTTCCACGCATCTTCTCAATGATCACGCGCAGGAAAAGCGCCTCTTGCAAAACCTCTCGCAAAGTCTCCCGCGAAGCTTCCCACACCCCGGCCTGCAAAACCCCGCAAGGCCGCAGAAGCCAGCCATGCCGTGACGGACGGGGACAGGGTTTTAGACGGCGAGGGTTTTGTTGGTGATGAAGGAAAGAAAATCAAAACCCCGGATAAGAAGGGGAAAGCTAAGATTGAGCGTGGAGAGGGAGGAGCAAAGGATCGAAAGCGGGCTCGTGAGGAGATCGCACCAGTAGAGACGGAAGTATCTGGAGAAAGGCCGAAAAGATATGGAGAGCCTGGGAAAAAGTCCGACGAGTCGAAAAAAGCGCAGGCGCGAGGAGAGGGGAAAGCAGTGGCGGAGGGGAAGAAGAATAAGCGGAAGAAGGGAGCGGGTGGGGCGGTAAAGCAGGGGGTGAGCGTGCTAGAGGAATGGGTGGAAGAAGAGGAGGACATCGGCGCGCAGATCGCGCTTGCGAGAGCTGAGGAAGCTGCGAAAAAGGAGGCGGAGGAGGTTAAGAGGCGTCTGGGAGATAAGGAGAGCATGGCGACGAGTGTGAAGGGCTTTACCGCTCAGGTGTGCCATTATCATGCCAGATTATCATGCCTTTATCGTGTGCCTCGAGCTCAGATTCCTAACTCCATCCCCATGATACCGACGGTTTACAGAAAAACCCTCCAGGAAACAACACCCCCTGCAACACTTGTGTATTGGCTTATCCCCACGTGGCGCTCTGCCGCTCAATCCGCATTCCTTGAACCCCTGGCTAAACCCTGCATGAACTATGTTTTCCCTCCTGATTTTGTGATTCAACGGCTCTCAGGACGCCACGCCAGGGATGCAGCTGTGGGGCTGTGTTGCAGAGGTCACCTCGTCCGGCCTCCTTATCAGCCTGCCACATGGCGTGTTCGGATTTGCTGACGTGGCAGAAGTATCTGATCAGATATCGGGTTGTTTAGGGAAGGCGGAACGGGGTGAGGCGGTGGATTGGGGGCAGGAGGATGAGGAGATGAAGGAGGAAGGGGAGGAGGAGCAGGAGGAGGGGGAGGAGGGGGAGGAAGGAGCAGGAGGCGAGAGCATCAAGCAGAAGGTATGCAATTTCCCTTGTGGGACCCTCCCTTCTTCCCTCCCTCCTCGCCCCCCCACACCTTAACCCCCTCCCCTTCCGCTCCCGCTTCTACTGTCTCTTTCAATTCTTCGCCCTCTCCTGTTTCCTCCCGTATCCTGCCAAAACCCTCTCTGCATTTCTTTAAACCCTGCCCGCTCTCCTCTTCTTCGCCCCCGCTCCCAGTCTCCCCACGCACGAGCAGCAGAGTGGATGGCGCGCATATTCACTCAGGGCCAGCTTGTTCCCTGCACTGTGCTCCCCGCCGCCGCTGCTGCTTCCGCCGCTGCTGGTGCTGCTGGTGGTAGTGGTGCCGGTGCTGCTGCGGCGGGGGCGGGAGTGGCAGCAGCGCTGGCAGAAGTGGCGGTGTCGGTGCGTCTGTCTCGCGTCCAGGGCCCAGTCGTGCGCTTCAAGAGCGTGCCTGCACACACGGTGAGCAGTAGGGGAGGCCCGTCGTTTGAAGGGAGGGGAGCGGCGGGATGAGGAGGGCGGAAAAGGAAGCGGGGTATGCGAGGGAGGGAGGTTGTGGCGTAGAGGTTGTGGAGTAAGTGGGAGGAAGCTGAGATTTGAAGCCCTGGGTGAAGCTGTTAGCAGCATGCAGCTTGTTCTCACTGCACAGCAGGGTTCATCACCATGTCACACCCTGTCATGCGTGTGTGTGGATGCGTGTGTGTGTGTGTGTGTGTGTGTGTGTGTGTGTGTGTGTGTGTGTGTGCGTGCGTGCGTGCGTGCGTGCATGCCTGCGTGCCTGCCTGCGTGCGTGTGTCATCCTCGGCACGTGCATGCATGCATGCATGCATGCATCAGGAGCTATGGGCGGCAGTGGAGAGTGTGGAGGAGCATGGGCTCATCCTGTCCTTTGGCCTGCGCACCATCACTGCCTTCCTGCCCTTCACCCAATTCACCCAACGATGTACGCTCTCCTTATCCTGCTCCTCTCCTCCTCTTTTGCTCCTCCTTCTTGCCACACCCCTTTGCTCATCTTTATTCATTTGAATCCTTCAATTCGCATCTCTTCCTCCTCCATCTCCTTACCTCTGCCTCTCGTCCTTCTTTTGCTCCTAACATGCCACACCCTAAACTTGAAACCCTCTCTGTCCGGGTCCCCTTCTGCGCCCTCTTCCCCTTGTTTACTCACTTCCCTCCTTATAACACCACTAGTCCCTGCCACCAGCAGCAGCGGTGCTGATAGCGCCTGCTGTGCCTCATCCATTTCTTCTAAACCCTCCACCCACCCCCCTCTCTTCCGTGCGTCCCTTGTTTCGCGATCTCTTGCTTCCTTTCTTTCTCTGCTTGCCCTTCAGTCCCTGGAGTGACATTCCGCAAGGGGCAGCTGTTGCCAGTGCCGGTGGTGGTGGAGGGGCGGGACAAGGCACACAAGACGCTCACAGTCTCGCTCGAACCCACCCCTGCCACTGTCAGTGCCGAGGCCATCACCGTCTATCTTCCGCGCCTCTCATGTGTTGTTTCATAGTGTGTGTGCCCGGCTGTGTGTGCTCGCCTTTGTGTGTGAGCGTGCGTGTATATGTGAAGGCGTGCTTGCATGTTCTTCTTTCCAACCCGCCCCCATTCCTCACCCTCTCTGTTCGCTACTGCACCACCTGCCGCTCTTGTCAGGGCAAGGCTGCACAAGCACACACGCCAGCACCACCAGCAGTGGCAGCAGGAGGGGAGGGCGGGGAGGGCGAGGAGGAGGGGGGTGTGGCGGTGCTACCGGGGCAGCTGGTGCAGGGCAAGGTGCTGCACGTGATGCAGGATGGATCCATGGCTGTGGGTCTTCCCACCGCCACTGCATGGGTGAGTGCGTGAGTGCGTGTGTGAGTGCGTGTGTGCGTCTGTGGGTGGGTGTGTTAGTGCGATAACTGAGGCGGCTCAAGAAGGTGCTGCACATGCTGCAGGATGGATCCATGGCTGTGGGTCTTCCCACCGCCACTGCATGGGTGAGTGCGTGAGTGCGTGCATGAGTGTGTCCGTGCATGTGAATGTACATGTGCTGTGTGCCTTTTCCACCTCTGGTCTCTCATCGTCGTGCACCCACCGCTGCTCTGCATCTCACCTACCTTCAACCTTAACCCCTGCCTCCTCCATCCTCTCCTGCCTCCTCCATCCCCTCCTGCCTCCTCCCCTCTCCATCCGCCCTCCCTCGCCTCCCTCCAGGTGCATCCATTGAACCTACCCCGTCCGCTGCTCTCCCGTGACCAGTGCCTGCCATCTTCCCCATCGCTGCCACGGTGCGTTCCGTTCCCTCCCTGTTCCATAACTTCCCTCCCTCTCCGCCCAATCGCCTCCCTCCAGGTGCACCCGTTGAACCTACCCCGTCCGCTGCTCTCCCTGGACCAGTGCCTGGCCATCTTCCCCATCGGCGCCACGGTGCGTCCCCCTTCACTTCCCCTACCTTCGCTCCTCCCCTTCGTACTTTCTTTCACCCCGCTCTGAATCTTCGCCTGCACTTATGCCCATGCTTCTTTGCGTTGCTGATGCCATTTGTCCTTTGCCCTTTGCCTTTTTCCCTGTGTCCATTGCCCTTTGCGCTGTGCCGTCTGCCCTTTTCCTTTTGACTGCCTGCACATATCATGCTCTTTGCCCCAACAGGTCAAAGCTCGTGTGCTCTTTTGCACTCATGGCGCATCAGGAACAGCAGCAGCAAGCAGCAGCAGCAGCAACAGCGCACAGGGTGCTGCTGACCCCAAGGTGGTGGTTCCTACCATAGCACTCTCTCTCAGCTCATCGCTCCTCCGCGCCACCACGCCCTCCATTGAGGTACGTGCCGTCTCCCCACCCTCCCTTCCTCCGTTGAGATATTCTCATGTCATGCCGCCTCTTCCCCAGGCTTCCCGCTTCCTCCGCACGTCTTCCCTCCTCTTGCTTCTGTCTCCATGCTCCCCCCTAGTGCTGTAGGCGTGTTCTGGGCTGGGAGTTCCCCTCGTGTGTTCTGACGAACCCCTCGTTCCTCCTGCTACCCTAGCAACTTGCAACATACAACGGTTGGATTACAACCTATGGAATCTACCTTTTTTCTTATGCCGGCTCTTTCTGTGCATCTCACCTCCTCCCGCCTCCCTGCTCCACCTGTTCCCCTGCTCGCCACTCCAGTGGCAAGCGTCCCCCTCCGCCCCTCCAACCAAGGTGCTTCCAGGCTCTCTCTTCCCCGCTGCTGTTGTCGAGCGCATTTACCCTGGGCTGGGCGTGCTGCTGCGACTGGGAGGTGGGGAAAAGGAGAAGAAGGAGAAGGGGGACGAGCAGGGGAAGCAAGGGAAGAAGCAGGGGGCGAAGGAGAGGAAGAAGCAGTTGGGCAAGGCCGCATATGCACTTGTTCATGTGAGTGCTGCTGGGTATTGCAGGCTTGGGCGCCCGAGAAGCTGGTGCAGTGGAGTGCTGTGCTCGTGATGTGTATTGCATGTGTCGTATGGTGGATGTGTGTCGTAGTGTGGGTTGTCATGCACACACCATCGCGGCACTTTGTGTCTGTCTCTGCAATCAACCCTGCCCCTCATCTGCCACCCCCTCTGCCTCTAACCCTGACCCTCCCCTCCCCCTACCCCTCCCCCGCGCTCTCGTGCCCCCCATTCTCCTTGCCACAGCTGCGCCAGCTCTCTGCATCCGGGGCACCCGCCATCCCAGCGCATGTGGCGGAGGGCAAGCAAGTGTGTGCGCGCGTGCTGCACCTCTGCCCCTCCGACGGACTCGCCATCGCGTCCCTCAAGGTGTGTGTGCGGGGCCCAAAATATTTTGGAATAAAAAAAAAGCGAATCAGATTCATGAGACGGCCCATAGGAGCTTCTTAAATCTCCAGAATTTGACAGTGCACTCGCCACGTGTGTGCTGTGCTTGCCGCCAAGTCACGCTTCTCTTGCTCCTTCATCCATTCTTTCTTCTGTCCTTCTCTTCTCTCTCTCTCCCCCACACCACACCAGGGCATGGCCGTGAAAACAACACTCTCCCCGGCAGGCGTGCAGGCGGGCAAGCTGGTAACAGGCACAGTGGTGGCGGTGGCAGCAGAGGGCGTGCGAGTGCAGCTGGCGTTTGAGCAGTGGGGGTGGTGCCCTCGCGCACACATGAGCGAGGGCAGGGGCACGCACCGGGACGACGCCGCCTTTAATGTGCGTTCCTTGTTTTAGTGTGTACACGAGAAAGCCCTCGAGGCGTGTCTGTATGCACACATGGGTGAGGGCAGGGCCACAAGGGCAGTCCCAGCTTTCATGTCTGCATTCGGAAGGCCACATCTCATCTCCCAGCTCCAGTCCCCACACGCCGGGACTGCAGCTCCAGTCCCCACACGCCGGGACTGCAGCTCCAGTCCCCACACGCCGGGACTGCAGCTCCAGTCCCCACACGCCGGGACTGCAGCTCCAGTCCCCACACGCCGGGACTGCAGCTCCAGTCCCCACACGCCGGGACTGCAGCTCCAGTCCCCACACGCCGGGACTGCAGCTCCAGTCCCCACACGCCGGGACTGCAGCTCCAGTCCCCACACGCCGGGACTGCAGCTCCAGTCCCCACAAGCCGGGCTGCAGCTTGTGGGGTATGAGATGAGATGCGGCCTTCCAAATGCGTTCCTGTATGAGATGAGAAGCGACCCTTGTGGTATTTCCTTGGCGCCCCCATGCTTTCTGGGAGAGCCCTCCTTGAATGTGTGTCCTGCCCTGCCTTCCATGGGTGTGCCCTCATGCTCTTGTGCTGCCATCCAGCTGCACTCCCTCCCTCCCTCCCTCCCTCCCTCCCTCCCTTCCTCCCTCCCTCCCTCCCTCCCTCCCTCCCTCCCTCCCTCCCTCCCTCCCTCCCTCCCTCCCTCCCTCCCTCCCTCCCTCCCTCCCTCCCTCCCTCCCTCCCTCCCTCCCTCCCTCCCTCCCTCCCTCCCTCCCTCCCGCCCACCGTCCCTCCAATCTCTCTGCAATCGCTCTGCATGCTCTGTCTGTTCTGTGCCTGTGCCTGTGCCTGTGCCTGTGCCCTTCTTCGCTAGCAGCCAGGGGCGTCGCTGCAGTTCCGTGTGCTGCGCCAGGGGGAGGGCCCCGAGGGACCTGTGCTGCTCACCCACAAGAAAACACTGGTGGGTTGAGATGTTGAGAGGGGGGTGAGGGAGGAGGCGAGGAAGAAATGAGGGAGCTGGGTCGTTGAGGGAGCATTAGAGAAGCGTACAGGGGATGGTGGGTATTGGGGAAGAGTGGAGTGCAGGTGCCAATGTCCTACCACCACTCTGCACTGTGCCAAAATTTCTCCTACTCCTGCACTCGTAGTCCTTCTTTTAATCCATCTGCTTTCTGCATACATGCATTCACCATCCCCTCTCCTCCCCACCCTCCCACCCCACCCCTCAAACCCGGAAAAGCCTTAAATTCGAATTCCTAGAATTGGAACCCTACCTGTAACCCTGCTTCCTCGTGCGCACACCACAGGTGTCTTCCAAACTTCCTGTTCTGACGAGCCCGTCGCAAGCGACGGCGGGTGTGTGCACGCACGGGTGGGTGGAGGCACTGACAAAGGGCACGTGCACCGTGCACTTCTATGGGGACTTCTCCGCAACCATCCACAGGTGCGTGCTGGGTTCAGGAGGGGTAAAGCAAACGGAGGGAGGAAAGGGGGCGGGAGGACGCACGGGTGGGTGGAGGTAGTGACAAAGGACTCCTGCACCGTGCACTTCTATGGTGTCTTATTCTCTGCCACCATCCACAGGTGTGTGCTGGGGTAGGTGGAGAGGGGGGGAGAAGAGGGTTTAGGAAGAGTGGTGGAGGGGACGGGAGGACAGAAGGCGGGAGGGAAAGGGAGTGGGGAGGGCACACGGTTATGGACTGTCCATCCGTCCACCTCTGAGCTGCCACTATCCCTCACCCATGCCATCCCTTTCACGTGCTCCTTCTCCCCCATATCTCGCTCGCTTGCTCGCCTCAGGGAGTAAGAGGAGCAGAGGGGGGGAAAGGTGACCCCCTGGGCATCACTGCACATGGGGCAGGTGCTGCGATTTTTGAGGCGCCTAAAACAAAGCACGTGGGGCAGGTGCTGCGCTGCTTTGCCCTGCCCCATTCCATCCCTTTCACGCGTCCCCTCTCTCCCATATCTCTCTCCCTCACACCAGGGAGCAAGAGGAGCAGGGGGGGGGGAAGGTGACCCCCTGGACGTCACTGCACGTGGGGCAGGTGCTGCGCTGCTTCGCCCTGCCCTCTGCTGACGCCGCCCACCCGGCCTTCTCCCTGCACTCGCCTTCAACGCCCTTCAGCAACCACACGTAAGCCACACACACACACAGGAGATTGGTTTTCTTCTTGGAGTCTTGCCATCCATTCCCGTCCCTCATCTCGCTCTCTCTCCCTCTGTTCATCTGCTCATTTGGTACCTAAGCTAGTTCCTTCATCCTTTGGCCCCGGTCGGGCCGTCCTTGACCCTTTCTCGCCCGTCCATCTCCCTTTCTCCATGACTGAGTGGTACATACATACCTACCTGACTCTCCCCCTCCCCGCCCGCCCTCCTTTCCTCGCTCGCAGGACACTATTCCCGCCATCCTCTTCCCCCCACGCCACGCCTCCCCCCCGTGCACTCCCCAACGCGCTGCACGCGGTGGGGTCGGTCATTCCGGAAGCTCCTGTGGTGCGCCGGGACGCCCACTCGCTCGTGCTCGCTCTGCCTGCTGCCAACGGCGTGCAGGAGGCCGTCATGGCTGTTGAGCACCTCGCAGACCAACCAGGTGCGTGGTGCTGTGCGGTGTGCTGTTTCATTGGGAAGAGCAGTGGTGTGTGTGTGGGGGAGACTCCCCTCACTGCCTGCTGCCAATGGCGTTCAGGAGGCCGTCATGGCTGTTGAGCACCTCGCTCGCAGACCAACCAGGTGGGCTTGGCGTGTGTGGTGTTGTGTGGTGCTGTGTGGTGCTGTGCGGTGTGCTGTGTCACAGGGAAAAGTGTTGTGTGGGGGAGCTCGCCTCCCTTGTTGCTGCCAACAGAGTGCAGGGGGCTATTATAACTGTGGAGCTTCCATACTGCTTCCCATCCCATCCTTCCTCCTCAATTCATGACCCCCTCTCCCCCCTTCCGCCCCGCCTTCCCTCCCCCAATTCCCGTGCCCCACCCCCCCACCAGCATGTGCGGCGGAGTTGCTAGCATCACTGCGGCCGGGTTCAAGGCTGGGGCCGCTGCTCGTGCTTTCCCTGTGGCATGGCCGCACGCCTATCGTCACTGCCAAACCCGCGCTCCTGCAAGCCGCCGCCGCTACTGGTGCTAGTGCTGGTGCTGGTGCTAGTGCTGGTGCTGGTGCTAGTGCTGGTGCTGCCGCTGGTGGTGGTGGTGGTGGTGGTGGTGGTGGTGGTGAGGGCAAGGCGGCAAGGGGCAAAGCGAAGCGGCCGCAACAGGGCTCCTTCCACATGGTACTGTGAGGGAGGGAGGGAGAGGCAATTGGGTTGCTGGGAGGGGCAGGGAGCGGGAGGGAGAGGGAGGGAGAGGGAGGGAGGGGGAGCGCGTGGGAGGGAGAGAGGGAGGAGGGTCTACTGGGGGCCCTGGGGCGGGGGAGAGCGAGGGAGTGGGCGGCATGTTTGTTCACCCCTCCCTTCCTCCCTCACAGTGGGTAGGTATGTGGCACAATGACAGTGAGACTGGGTCAGAATGTTTGCGCATCAAGACCTGTGAACTGCATCACATTCATCCTCCCTGCTCCTCACCATGGTCCCCCCTTTGTCCGTTGCTCACTTTGCCCTCCCCTCCCCTCCCCTCCCCTCCCCTCCCCTGCGCTGCCTTCCCCCGGCTGTGGTGGCGAGCAGGCGTTTGTGACAGGAGTGAGGGCAGATGGGGCGTGCAGTGTGCAGCTAGCAGATGGCACCACGGCCGTCTCCCTGCCCTTCTCCCCCACCCCTGCTGCCCTCGCCACTCTGGTGCGCACCACACCCCACCGCACTCAATTCCTTTCCTGCTCGATCTGGCAGTTGCACAAGTGCTCCCTTTCCCCCCTTTCACCGTGGTTCTACAAGCTGTGCCGTAGCGCCCTGCCCTCTCTCGTCCCTCCCGATCCCTTCCCATTCTTTCATCATCTCTCTTTTTCACCTCACCTTCTCAACCGTCATCTGGCTCACCCATCCCCCCCTCCTCCCTTCCCCTTGTGCTCCTGTCTCGCCCCGGCTCACTCTCTCTCACTCTCTCTCTCGTCCTCCCGTCTATCTGCAGGTGCCAGGCGTCCCTGCGTCACCATCGCCTGCTGTCTTCTTCTCCCTGGGCCAGACCGTTCGGGCCAAGATACTTAAGGTGGGTGTGCTGGTGCTCGTGCTCGTTTGTGATCAGATCAACACACTCACGGTGTGATGATCGGTTGTTTGTGGTACGATCAAGTCAACACACCCGGAACTCGTTTTGTGAAGCATATACGCGCTTTTTTAGGAGGACGCAGAGTGTCCTTGGGGGATGTGAAAGCGAGCATGCGCACCACTGCCCCACACACATATGAATCTCCCCCCCAACAACAACTCCCAACCCCACCCACTCTCACCCCCACTTCCCCACGCCCTGCAGGCGTCACAGCCCCTGCAGGTGGCTCTCGACCCTTTCCTCTGCGCGTGGATGGGCCAGCAGTGGTGCCGGGCATGGCCGTGGAAGGCACCACTGCCGGCCCCATCACACACAGCAACTCACAACCCCCTTCTTCACCCGAACTTCCCCACGCTCTGCAGGCGTCACAGCCCCTGCAGGTGGCTCTCGACCCTTTCCTCTGCGCATCGCACGACGGCTCGTTTGCATCGTCGCTGCTGCAGCAGGAGCGCACGGCAGCACGGCTGGCAGAGCAGCAGGAGCAGCCGTGGATGGGGGCGGTGGTTCCGGGCATGGCTGTGGAAGGCACTGTGCTGGTCAAACACGAGGGCGCCATGGGAGCGGGAGGAGGAGGAGGAGGAGGGGGAGGGGAAAGAGGGGGAGGGAGGCATGGAGGGGACTCGTGGACTGTGTCTCTAGTCAGTCCCGATGTGCTCAAGGGAGTGACGGCGGTTGTTCCCGCTGACCTTGGTGAGACCTTGGTTGGTTGCTCAACATCTGCTCGCTCTTGCTCTTGTGTGCTGCACGGCACGCTCTGCGCTGCAAGCTGCTGCAACCGGCCCGTCGGTACTTGGCGCAACCTCATTAACCTGCGTGGGCGCCTGTGTCCCGCTCACCCGCGTCTTTCATTATCCTGCGCTGCACCATCAGAAGGTCTTGCTTTGTGCTGAGTGGCCATAAGGCAGAGGTTAGGGGCGCTATGCAGCCTCCTGAAGGCAGTACTGCAGATCGCGCAGAGAGGCATGATGGGGAAACGGTGTCTCTTGCGAGTCGTGTCAAGGAGTAAAAGTATGCACAGCCTATCTCCCTGTCCTGTGTTGCTGTTCACTCGCTTTTGAGGCGCCTCAAAACTCTTGCGAGTCGTGTCAAGGAGTAAAAGTATGCACGGCCTATCTCCCTGTCTATGCTGTGTGTTGCTGTTCACTCACCTCACCCTGCCTCTCTTGCCGTCTCTACCTCCCTCCATACCGCCCTCCCGGACTCCCTCCCTTCCACACCACATCACGTATGCACGTGCGCTCCTCGTGCACACAGCATCCAAACCGCTTACTCTAGGGGAGCGAGTCTCAGGGCGAGTGGTGGACGTGGGAGGAGCAGCAGGGCATGTGGTGCTAGCAGTGGGGGACATTGCTGCTCCGCAGGCCAAGAGTGGGAGCGCGGGCCAAGTGGTGCTGGCGAAGGGGACGAGGCTGCTGGTGCGAGTGCTGCTCAGCACTCCACACTATGCGGTACGACTCTGACACTTGCCTCTTGCTCACTCTCCTTTCGCCACACTATGCAGTGCGACACTATGTTGCTCGCTCCATCCTTTGAGGCGCCTCAGAAGATGTCTGATGCTGCCTGTTCTGTACCATCACCCAAACCTCCTTTCTTCTGTTCCACCAGGTGAGGGGCGTTAGGTGCATGCCTATCTGTATTATGTGCATGTTACACGGATCATCTTCATCCTCCTCCCCTCTCGTCCGCTCCCCTCCCCTCCTATCCGTCGCCTCCCACAGGTCGTTGCACTGCCCGCCTGCTACACTGTGCCGGCAACCACGGGCCAATTGCAAGCAGCCACGTCAGCGCCCCTGCTGGCGACTCTGGCAGGGGGCGACTTCAACCTGCCCCACGTGGACGTCCCTCGGTTGTACCTCCCTGGACAGATGTGCGTGCTGCTGCCATACCCATGCACTTGCACTTGCTCTTGCTCTTGCATTTGGTTTGCCATGTCATGTCATCATGTTTTTAGTCATGCTGCTCAGGAGTCAGAACCGAATGCATCGGTTTACATGGCTGCTGTGCTTTCACACCTTCACTTCCCCTATGCACATTCATTCGGCTGCCCTCCGCTTGTGAAAAGATCCGTCCAAACACATAGACTCATGCCATTCATCCTTTCTACGCTGCTATCTCCTCACCCATCTCCCTCCCCCTCTCCCTTCCCTCTCCTTCCCATCTCCCTCCCCCTCTCCCTTCCCTCTCCTTCCCATCTCCCACCCCTCTCCCTTCCCTCTCGTTCCCATCTCCCTCCCCCTCTCCCTTCCCTCTCCTTCCCATCTCCCTCCCCCTCTCCCTTCCCTCTCCTTCCCATCTCCCTCCCCCTCTCCCTTCCCTCTCGTTCCCATCTCCCACCCCTCTCCCGGCCGGCCTCATTCTTCTCGCTTCCACATCTCCAGTGCTGCAGCAGCTCTTGTGGCGCTCCCTTCACCACAGACAGGTGGCAGGATCGTACTGGCTCGGGATGAGCTGGTTTCCTTCACCCATCCTTCCTCAGGCCCCACCGCCACCACTGCTGCTGCTGCCGCTCCTCCTGCTGCTTCTGCTGCTCCTGCAGCCTCTTCCGCACTCACTGACCGTACACCTGCTGCCACTGCCACTGCCACAGCCACTGCTGCTGCCCCTACGGCGTGCACCGCCACTAGTGTGTGGCAGCGCCGCTACGCGCAGCTGCGCCTGCTGGTGGCGGCGGTGGTACAGGGGGAGGTGCACCCTGCCACTGCCTCCTCTGCCGAGCTGGCTCTCGTGGATCTTGGCGGAGGGGTTTCCGCCATTCTGCGTGCCTCCCAGGTACTGCTTCCCTCCCTTCCCCCGGTACCGTGTGTTACTCATTATGAGCTGTGTAAGCTCTGTAGGCCCTGCTGGTGGCGGCGGTGGTACAGGGGGAGGTGCACCCTGCCACTGCCTCCTCTGCTGGGCTGGCTCTCGTGGATCTTGGCGGAGGGGTTTCCGCCATTCTGCGTGCCTCCCAGGTACCCTGCCGTTCCCTTCACCACCTGTGTTCTCTGCATCCTCTCTGCCCCCTCTTCCCCCCACCCTTCCCCCCCTCGTCTCCCCCTCGTCCCCCCACTTCCACCCCTCCCTTCCCCCCCCCCCTTCCCCCCCCCTTTCCCCCCCCCCCTTACCCCCCTTCTTCCCCCTCTCCCTCCCCTTCCCCCCTTTTTCCACCCTTTCCCCCCCTCTTCCCCCCTTCTCCCTTGTGTGTGGGCACCATCATTCTGATCCCGTGCAACCATTATTTTGATCTCCAAAACATTATTGCCGCTCTGCCTCTCACACACGCTCCTGTCGGCCTTACCCCTTCACCGCGCCATCTCCCCTATGCGTTGCCCTCTCCCCCTCCTCCTCCACCCTACCCAGTTCCCCTCCTCTCTGCATGCAGGGGACATCATTAAAGCCCGGGTAGACAAAGTGCTGCTGAGCGCTGCAGCTGCTGCTGCCGTGCAAGGGAAGGGGCAGGGCGGTGGGCAGGGGCAGAAGCAGGGGAAGGGGAAGGGGAAGGAGGAGTTGAGTGAGGAGGAGCGGCGAGTGGTGGAGGAGAGAGGAATGTGTGTGCTGATCAAGGGAGCCGTGGTGATGGTGCATGGAGGGGGGGAGAGGGTAGGGGAGGCTGTGGAGAGAACGAAGGGTGGGAAGGGTGAGAGGGGGGAGAAGGGTGAGAAGGTTGAGAAGGGTAAGAAGGGGGAAAGAGGGGGTTTGGAGGGTGGGGAAGCGGAGAAGGCGAGGGGGAAGGTGCTTGATGCAATGAGTGACGACGAGGAGAATGATTCTGCAGGGGATGAAGAGTATGAAGAGGATGAAGAGGAGGAAGAGGAGATGGAGGTGGATGAGGAGGATGAGGAGGATGTTAGTGATGAAGAGAAGGAGGGGGGCAATGGTGATGGTGGTGATGCTGAGGAGGAGGATGAGGATGAGGAGGAGGTTGCACCGCTGCCTGTGGCAGTGCGTGGTGCTGGTCTGGCAGGAAGAAAGCGGTTACCAGCAGAGGAGTCAGACGAGGAGGAGGGAGTGGAGGAGGAGAGTGAGGAGATGAAGAAGCAGAGGAAGAAGAGGGCCAAGAAGCGGGAGAAAGAGGCCAGGCAAGCACTCCTGCTTCCATACGCCTTTTTTAGTAGCCAACACTCTATGGCTTTCATGATCATGCATGTACCATCACGCATGCGCCAATCATGGTGCCCCAGTCAAGTCTCAAGTCATGTTGCCACTGAATCCCCAATAACCATTCTTGAGTCAACCCAGGAAGTGACGTGACCCCCCCTCACATTCCTATTCTCCTCCCACCCCTCCACATCTTCCTCTCCTTGTCCTTGGCAGGGAGCGGGCGATACAGGAGGCGGAGCAGAGGAGGGTGAAGGGGCAGCAGGCGCCGGAGACAGAGGCGGAGTTTGAGCAGCTGCTGCTGGCGTCCCCCAACAGCTCCTTCCTCTGGATCAAGTTCATGGCCTTCCTGCTCTCGCTCTCTGAGATCGACAAGGCCAGGGCCGTTGCTGAGAGGTGAGGGGTCAGTGTGGCGTGGGGTGTGCTGCGGTGGAATGTGGTTGAGAGGAATCTGGACAACTTGTTCTTGTGACGTGGATTAGGTTTGTGTGAGGCTTGTTTTGTGAAGTAGACAAGGTCAGGGCTGCTATAAAGAGGGGTTCAGACGGAGGGGACTGGGTGGGTGGGTGCTGACGTTCTAAACCCTTCACCCCCTTTCATCCCTCCCTCTCATTCGCCCAACCCATTCTGCCATGTCCGGCCCATCACCCTTGCATGTGTGTGTGTGTGAGCAGAGCGCTGAAGAGCATCAGCTACAGGGAGGAAGGGGAGAAGCTCAACATCTGGGTGGCGTACCTCAATCTCGAGAACATGCACGGCAACCCACCCAAGGTCTGTTCTTGCACCTCCCCCAATGGGGGTGGGGCAACGGGGTTGGGACAAGAGGGCTGGGGCAATGGAGGCTACGGGCATGGGCTGGGCGGACCTACCGTATGGGTGCGTGCGTGACCATGGCGCTTTGCTCTTGGGTTGGGCCTGAGGCAATGTGGAGTAGCATGTGTGTTCCCGAACTCTACATGCACATGCGCCTCTGGGTTTCAATCAAGCCAACTCACCCCCTGTTTCTGCCCCCTTCCCTCCGCCCCGCCCCTTCCACCTTCTTCCCTCACCCATTTATTCCCCCACGGCCCAGCCTTTCCCCGCTGCTAAAACACGTCAGAGTCGGTGCTGGCGCTGTTCCAGCTCAGCGGGGCGTGCATGGCCCTTTAGAGGCTGCATGTGGTGCCAAGTTTCAATCAAGCCCACTCTTCCCCTTTCTGCCTCCCATCCCCTGCCCGCCCACACCGACAGGAGGCGGAGCTAGCGCTGTTCCAGCGGGGCGTGGTGTACACGCAACCCAAGAAGCTGCACGTGCTGCCGAGTTCCAATCAAGCCCACTCTTCCCCGTTCAGCCCCCCATCCCTGCCCGTACCGGTCTCCCAGGAGGCGGTGCTGGCTCTGTTCCAGCGGGGCCTGGCGTACACGGACCCGAAGAAGCTGCACGTGTTGCCGTCTTCCAATCAAGCCAACACTCCCCCTTTCCCCTTCCTCCTTCCCCCTTCTCCCCACCCTCCCCATTCCCCCCCTGCCGAACCTTCCCCCGCTTTCAGGAGGCGGTGCTGGCGCTGTTCCAGCGCGGCCTGGCGTACACGGACCCAAAGAAGCTGCACGTGGCGCTGCTGGGCGTGTTTGAGCGCAGCCAGCAGCACGACATGGCGGACACGCTGCTGCACTCCATGGCCAAGAAGTTCAGCACCTCCGCCAAGGTCAGTCACTGCGCGCCTGCGCTAAGGTCAGTGTGCACCTCCGCCAAGGTCAGTGTGCACCTCCGCCAAGGTCAGTGTGCACCTCCGCCAAGGTCAGTGTGCACCTCCGCCAAGGTCAGTGTGCACCTCCGCCAAGGTCAGTTGGAAAGCTCTTCTCGATAGCTTCTGAGTCAGTGCGCGTGCGGTGCCCGAACCCTCGGCATGCATGCTGAGCTGCGTCCAAGCTCCTCTGGTTGTCTTGTCTGCATGGCTTTCTGGTTGTCCAATGCTCCCCTGCTTGCTGCTCTGTCAAAGAACCCTCGAAGAGCCCTCTGTCTGTCCGTCTCTGCCCCCTCGTGGACCGCGAGCAGGTGTGGCTGCGCTACATCCAGAACCAGCTCAGCCGCGGGCTGGAGGAAGGCGCGAGGAAACTGCTGGAGCGGGCGCTCACTGTGCTGCCGCAGAGAAAGCACATCAAGGTGTGGGAGTGGGAGGATTGCCCAACATGTTAGGGGCCTGGGAGCAGGGAGAGCAGGGACCATGTAGCGGGGTTGCTTTGCTTTCAACACCGGTGGAGTTGTCCATTCTGTTCTTTGTACACCTTTTGAGATAGTGGGGTTGCAACTGATTGTATGTCATCTCCCTCTTCCTCTCCCTCACTACTCCTCGCCCTGCATCTGCCCCATCTCCCTCACCTGCATGTCACTCTGCTGCGCGAGCGCAGGTGATATCCCAGGCAGCGCTGATGGAGTATCGCATTGGATCGCAGGAGAGGGGCAGGACGCTGTTTGAGAACATTCTCCGGAACTTCCCCAAGCGCACTGACCTCTGGATCACTTACATCGACCAGGCAAGCGCATCTCCTCTCCTCCTGCACTCATCTGCCGCTGCCTTCTAGTTCACTTTATATCGCCTACCTTCTTCTTGCCGTGCCGTGGCTCCCTGCCTTTCTCCCAACCCTTGCGCCATTTCACACCCCACCCCGTCCCCCCACATTCTTTACCCCATTTTGCTCGATCATCCCCCTTTCGTCATTTTCCGTCCTCTTTTCCCCTCCTGTCACCGCTATCCCCTCCGTTCCTTGCCCTGAATCGCTGCCGCTAACCGCTCTAAGCGTCTCCCTCACCTCCATCCCTCTCTCCTGTGCTGCCTCTCTCCCCTCCGCTCTTCACCCATTGTTCATGTACCACCAGGAGGTGCGGATGGGGGATATGGCGGCAGTGAGGCGGCTGTTTGAGCGAGTCGTATCACTGGATCTCCCACCCAAGAAAATGAAGGTGCGCTGTGCATGGAGATGTGCTTTGGATGAATTCGAAATACAGTTTGAGCCAAGTGCATGTGCCAAACGCATCTGCTAGATGTACTCATTCATGCCTCTCTATCCTTCCATGCTCGTTCCTCCCTCCTCCCACTCTCCTCTTGTCCTCTGCCTGCTCCCGCACTCCCCACCTGTCACACCAGTCACTGCTGAAGAAGTATCTGGACTTTGAGACGGCGCATGGCACGCAGGAGCAGGTGGCGCATGTGAAGGCGCGTGCCGTGGAGTATGTGCAGCGCCGCATGGGCGCAGGGGGGCATGCTTGATGCGCACAGGGGGCGAGGAGGCGAGCTTGTAACGTGTGAACAGATTTGGAAAAGAGTGCGTGCAGCGCCGCATGGGCGCAGGGGTTGACATTTTTTTAAGAGCGGAAGGGGCGGAGGCGAGCTCGGAACTCGTTACCATATGGCCTTCTAATGAAGGGTCTTGGGAGCGGTGCTTGGAAACAATGTGGAAGGTCTGGGAGGAAATCAAGTCCCAATTACCGTAACCAACCAATGTAGGGGCTTTTGCAAGTGGAGGGTCGAGCGAAAGCAGCACATGTTGTGTGATTCAATGAATGGCTCGCACTGTGCAACACCAAGTAAGATCTGTCCATGTCGTTTGGATGCTAAATTTACCAGTTAACAGGCTGTGGTGGCGTCTATACCATAATGGTTCCCGGATTGTGGGGTAATTATCATTCTTGAAGTTTGTTTTTTAGAAGTGCACTACTAATTTTGTCTGAAGACGTGTTTCACAAGTCTAGAAGTTGCCGAATCCATTGTGCCCCTCGTTAGCAGGTTGTTCTAGCGGAGAATTTCCCGCTCCCCAACGCCGTTGCATTTGCCCCGCACTGCTGCTGGAGCAGCAACTGGCGCAGCTTGCTCCAACTCCCATTTTCCGCGCGCCACTAACCCCTCTCTCCATTGAACCTCCTCCCAGACCTAAAAGTTGCCTCATTTCTGATCCAAGGTTTTGAAGCACTTCACTAGTTATATTGTTCTTCGATCTCATTCTAGATTTCCGTCATATTGTAGATCTTAGAACCTCGCCTTTTTGCTTGACTTCCCGTTAGGCTCTGATGCCGACGTCCGTATCTCCTTTGGTTCATTGGGATTAATCCGGCGATTTGACCACTTTCTAACATTCAGATGCGACACGAGCAAGAAGAGCCAATGAAGAGCCTTGGGCGAAGAAGTAAGGACTAATTTCCGTGATTGCCGTTGACGTGGATCTGCGCGCGGCTCATGCCTCGCGCAACTGTGCGTGTGGTTGAGCAGATGAAAAGGAAGGTGCGATGCCCGCCGGAATCATCGCTCGGACCGTGCGCAATGGGCGACGGTGGTCCCATCAAGCCTCGCAAGAAGGCCAAGGCGAGATCGGACGGTACAGAAGACGACACCTTGCTTTTGGGAAACGGCCTGTCGGCTTGCGGCAACTGCTCTGTGGTAAAACGCGGAAATCTTTGGATTTCGTTTCCTGATGTCTTCTGTCATGTTGTCCTTCTTGGGAATTTGGGTCATGGCTTGTGATGTGTGTGCTACGCCATGCGCTCTTTGATGGCTGCCTCATATTTCGTCTGTAATTTGATAAACCAATGACTTGACTTCCCGATCTGTTCTCCACCCCGCTTATCTCTACTGCCTCTTTCCCCCCTTCTCCCCCTCCTTTCTTCTGTCCTCCTTGCGCTCGTGTCCTGGTTTTTTTGTTTCTTAATTTTCCTTTGCTCCTTGCAGCTCCAGCAGAGATTAGACAAAGCGGAAGAAGGTAGGAGGAAGCTTCGCGAGGCGGTTGGATTACTACGAGATCGGATCGAGGAGCTGACACAGACCGTCGCCACTCTTCAACAGGGTGCGTGTTCGCATCATCTGGCTCTCGGTTCCCTTCTCCTTCTCCCTCTCCTCCTTCTCAATAGGCTTGTCGATTTGCTCATTCTAAACCGTTTTTATGCGAAATACTTTCCTGGCCTCCGTGTGCTTATTCTCCCGTCCGCTGTTTCCGAGATGTTGCAGTTTCTAACCTGGAGAATGTCGCTGACTTCCTGCTCTTGCTTTGACAATCCTGTGTGTTTTCCTGCATGCGCAGACATACGACAGCAGCGTGAGGAGAATGACGAGTTACGGCAGCGGGTGGAGCAGGCAGAAGGGCGGGCAGATGAGGAGTGTCTACGGGCAGTTAAAGAAGCTCGCCGGGCAGCTGACGCTCTCGATGAAGCAGCGCGAGAGCGAGAGAGGGCGGAGGATTATTGCGCGCGGGTAAAACGATTAGAGCGGGAAGTAGCGGTGCTTCAAACGCGAGTTCAAGAAGACCAGCGAAGAGACGCGGAAGGTCATAGGGCCGAGGGTGAGGGGAGATTAGATGCCGGGAGAACTGAATCAGATGAGACGAAGCGACAGGCGTATGTTGATGGCGATTTGTTGGGGAAAGGCCAGGGCGATGAGCACGACAGTGAGCAGGTCGGAGGACGGAGCGGTTCTAGCAGCCCCACAAGCGGAAGTGAAAGCAGCAGTAGCGACGACGGGGCCACAAGTGAGAGTAATCGCGGTAGTGACTCGGATAGCGAAGCCGTTTCGTGCTCCAAGTCTGGAACGGACAGAGCGGGTGACGGCGAGGAGAGTGAGAGTGATGAGGGGGATAGCGACAGTAGGAAAATTGACCGACACAGGAATGATAGTGACGACGAGTCGAGGGGCGAGGGGAAGGAGAAGGCTGGGGAGGAGAAGGAGGAGGAAGTGGAGATAGATGTGGAGGGGTTGGAAGCCAATGGTAGCGACGAAAGATCGCAGGGTAACGAGACGACGCCACAGGCGACATTCGCGAGTGAGGAAAAGGAAATCGAGCTGAGGGATGAGTTGGGGCACTTGGAATTAATTGAATTGGGAGGGTGGAGTGATGGCGAGGGGGAGGTGGAGGCGGGAAGCGGAGGTGGCAAGGTGGAAGATGCGACGGGAGGAGAGCAGAGTCAGATTGGCGCGTGTGAGAGTAGGGGACGCGTGGGGGTGACGGGGATGCTAGAAGGAGCAGAAGAAACAATGGCGATGCCCACAAGAAAGGGCGAGTTTTGCGAGGGTGGGGGTGAGCGTGAAGCCGATGTACGGGATGTGAAGGAGGATGACCAGTCGCGGGAGAGTAGTGAAGGTGGGATGATGATTCCAGTAAAGGCTGTCACCCATGCTGCTGTGGCTACAGCAAGCATCACCAGCCTATTGCATGGCGATACAAGAATACAAGGCGAGAGAGAAGCGGAGGAGAGAGAGGATAGCGGCAAAGAGCACATAGTAGATTGCGCTGCTCCCGTTGCTGCTGCTGCTGCTGCTGTTGCTGCTCCTGCTGCTGTTATGACCGATTCGCTAGAGCCTGATGCGATCCCTGCTGCCGCCGTCGTCATCCATACCTCTCCTGGTGTATCTGCCGCTGTTGCTGATGCAGTCACTTCCACTGCTGCTGTTGCTGATGTTGCTGATACGGTCCTTGATGTTGCTGCTGCTGCTGCTGCTGCTGCTTCTGCAGCTGCTGCAACTGCCACTGTAGCGGATGCTGACCCTAGCGGTGCTGCAATAACAGCCCCGTTGCCGCATCCTGCCACCACTGCCGGTACCGCCGCCGCCGCTGCTGTGTTAAGCTGTCCTGGCAATTTTCTGGGTACTGAGAGCGCTGAGAAGACCGGGCGAGCAGGCAGCGCGTGTAGCTTGCGGGCCATGAAACGTCTCGCCAGGAACCGAGGCCCGCATGCGCCCTCCGTGAAGCCGCCTGCATTGCCCCTCACACCTGCACCTTCAACGCCTGCGACTTTAGCTCCAGCGCCCGTAGCACCTGCGCTTGACTGCGCTCGCGCCGACCCCACAGGAGCCACAGCGGCGGCCATTGGTGAGCATACAGGCACGGTTCAGCGCGTGACAGCTGAAACACCTGATGCTGTGGTGATGGGGAGTAGCAACAATGGATATGGGACGGAAGGGGCAGATGAGGGACGGAGAGAGGAGGGGAATGCGCCGGAAGGGGGGCTGGACGGTGCGAGGGGGAGAAAGCGCAAGGATGGGGGAGGTTCCGACGGAGCTTCGTTGGCGCATGCGCAGGCGGCGGTGCGCGCGCCGATGGTAGGACATGGGGCGGCACGCGCGCAGAGAGCAGTGATGAGCACGGTAGTAGAGGAACCACCGCTGGATGATGTGCGGGCGTTCTTTGCGTCGCTCTGCTTCCCCGTGGCTTGCTCCCCGCCTGCCGCCCCGTCCCCGCCGTCGCTCACTGCATGCGAGGAGCTTATTCGGTCGAACAATGGTCAAATGGAGCAGCAGCCGCCGCCGGTGCAGCAAACCCAAAATGGGTGTACCAGACCCGCTGTGTCCGCGTTAGCTCCCCTTCCCCTGGGTCCTCTCCCCGCTCTCCTCCACCTGCCTTCCCCGCACCACCTGCACGCCCCACCCGTGCGCGCGCTGGTTGGCCCTGGCCACATCGCCCCATGCAGGGACGACCGCGTTGGCCCCCTGTCGCTGCCTCATGAGTCCCACACCCCATCCAGCACACACGGCAGCTGCACTGCTATCGTCACAGCCACTGCCACCGCTACTCCCATTGCCACTACTGCTGTCGCCGGTGCCGCTGCCCCTGCTGCTGCCGCTTCTGCTGCTGTACGGGCCAATGCGGGTGCAGGTGTGAAGGGTGGAACAGATGTCACTGCCAGTGGCGGCAGCAGCACAGCAGGCAGCATGCCACCTCCCCATGCCGTGTGCGCCTTCGCCCCGCCCTCAGGCTCCTCGCACTCCCTGTCAGCCACTCAACCTCCTCCTCTTGCTGTTCCTGCGTCCCCTTCCTCTGTTGCTGGCGCGAGCGCTTCCCTCCGTGATGCTTCCGCATCTCACGGCTGCTGCAACGAGCAAATGCAGGCAGGCGCGGGCGGGATTCCGATAGAAGCGGAGATGGGGGGCGGGAAGAGGGGGCTAGAAGGGTGGGCAGAGGGGGATGGAGACGCGGAGCGGGATATGGAGGCGGAGAAGGAAGCGAGGGGAAGCTCGTGCGGCGAAGGGGCAGCGGTTCTACTTGACCATTTGGCTGCTCTGGGTGATCTGGGGGATGGTGGGGCAGGGAGGGGGAGGGGTTCTGGGAAACGGGATGCAGGCAGGGGGAAAGCGGGCGAGAGGGGGCAGGGTGGAGGGAGAGGGAGGCGGGGAGGTGGGGTGGGGCGGGGCAGTGGATTGGAAAGGAGAGCGTCTGGGAAGAAGGGGCAGTGGTGGGTTGATGTTGGGATGGCAGCAGAGGGGCAAGACGGGCGAGAAGGCAGTGCTGCAAGGGCTGCGGCGGCTCCCAGCCGTGGGCTTCTCCCGTCCTCTGCATCCCTCCCTGCTGCGATCTCCCTCACTCCACGCTCCTCCTCCTCTCTGTCTGCCTTTGAAATCGCCAATCCCCTTGTGCCCCTTCTTCCCAACGCCACGGCCCCTACCCCTCCTATTCCTCCGTCTGCGCCTCCCCCGGTTCCTGCCCTAGTAGGTGCGCCGGGCGCAGGCGCGGGTGTTGGTGCAGGGCGCGCGGCAGGGGGTGTGGGTGCTGGTGCTGCCGCTGCCGCTGCCGCTGCCGCTGGCGCTGGCGCTGGCGCTAATGTTGGCGCCGGTGCCAGTGCTGGCATTGCAAGGGCGCGTTCATCGGGGGGTGGACAGTTGGTGGTGGCGCCAGGGGTGGCAGCAGCAGTGGCAGTGATGCAGGTGGAGAGGCGAGTGAGGGAGAGGCAACAGCGGGTGTTAAGGAGGATGAGGAGGGGGTCGAAACGAAGAGGGGAGAGCATGGGGAGGAACAGCGGGGCTGTTAGAGGTGTGCTAGGGGCAGCAGGGAGGGGAGAAACGGGCTATGGCGATGCTGGTGCGAGTGCGTTCTCTCAGGCTCTTCTTGCTCGTTCCAAGTCTGCTGGTGCTCTGTCTATTACTGCCCCCACAGCAGCACTCGCCCAACCATCACCAGCTACCGCCACCGCTCCTGCTGCTGCTGCTGCTTCTGCTGCTGCTGTGGGTGGTGGTGCTGCTGCTTTTGGCACACCAGCGTTGCCTTCTGCTGGGTCGTGTCCTGAAAGCTCAGCTGCAGCTCTCCCACCCTCTCTCCCGCCATCTGCATCCACCTCTCTCACACCCGTGTGCGCCCCTCCTCACGCGTCCGAGCGTGGCCCCATGTCCGTGGCTGAAGCCCTAGCAGCAGCAAAGGCAGTGCAGCGCGAGCGGCAGGCGTTGGGCCAAGGAGGGGCGGCGGCAGGAGCAGGAGCGAGGGCAGCAGAGGGCAGAGGAGGAGCTGGTGGTTCCATGGTGCGAGGGAGTGGGAGCGGTGTAGGCGTGTGTGGGGTAAGCAGTGAGCAGCGAGGAGGGGAGCAGCGGAGGGGACGTGTGAGGGGAGAAGCAGGCTGGAGTGGCCTGGACGTGCTTCGTTGCTCTGCAGTACCTGCTGAGACGCCTCACTCCAGCACCCTTACCGCTCTCAACCGCTCGTCTATGCGAGCTGTTAACTGGAGGAGGCATGCTGCTAATGGGGCTGGAACAGGGGCAGTCAGGGGTGATGCGGGGTGCTGGGATGGCAGGGATGGGTATTGTAGCGATGGAGGTATGATGAGGCAGGGGCGAGGAGAGGCGAACAAGGCAGGATGGGCGGTGGGAGATGTGTTTAGAAGAGGAGGTGCAAGTGGGGACGGGCGGGAAGACGACGTGCGGGGCTGGTTGGGGAGTGAGGGTGGGGGATGGGAGAGTGACGTGGATAGTGGATGGGAGAGTGAGGGTGGAGGGGTGGAGGTGCGAGGAGGGAATGGGGTGTGGAAAAGACAGGATGAGAGCGCCTGGTGGGCCTCCAGTCTTCCTCCCTCGCCCACTCCCTCCTCTCCCACACCCCACTACCCTAACCCCTCGTCGTCACCCACTCCCCATTACCTTATTCCCTCATCACCTGCTCCTCATTACCCCAACCCTCCATCCCCAACTCCGCCGTCCCCCACGCGGCATGTGTTTCCCACACCGCAAGCATGACTGCACGCGTCTCTTGTGTGCATCGCAAATCGCACCACCCTCTGCTCACACCGCTTACCTTGTTCAATACCAGCAGTGTTATCCTTTCTACACACAGCCTCACTGCTGTCTGTCTCTTCTTCTGCAAGGCGGCGCTCCTAGGGTTCCGTCTTTACTGCCTGCCTGCAACCCCACTCACCTGTCACTGCAGGGCCCCTGCCCTCTTCCTCTCCTCTTGCTTGCTGCTGCCTGCCCTGTTTGGCAAAGGGATGCTGTCTCAACCACAGCAGCTGCTGGCTCCATTACTGCTGCCTCTATCAGATGAGATGAGGCCTCGACTTCGTTGTTTGGATTGCCTTGCCTGCTCCATGGCTAGTAGCGATGCGTGGGCTTGCGTTGTGGCCACGTTGTGAGGCGCCTGCCTTACAGAGTGCTTTTTTGGTTGACGAGCCCAGCCCAGCCCACCAGGGCTCGTTTTGTGGGGAATGTGTTGTGGTTTGGTTAGGATGTTAAGGCCTAGCGATTTAGTTGGAGGCAAGAGATTCAGCCCAGCATCAGTGGAGCAGAATCAGGAAGAAAGAATGCTTATAAATGGAATAGATACAGTGGGAGCAAAAATGTGGCATTTGTAACAGGGAGTAGAACCTTAGCTCTGTACAAAGAATACAAGCAGGCTAGGGGCAAAATTGGATGGTGGGTGGGAGGGCAGCAGTTGCCTCCCTACCACATGTGCAAGAAACTTGGGATGAGCCTACAAAATTGGGGGGGGGGGGGGGGGGGGGGGGGGTGGGCCCTGAGTGGCCGGAGGGGCTAGGCAGGGCTAGAAGAGGTGAAAACGGAATCTATCTACACACGCGAGGTGGTGCGTGGGGGGGGGATAAGAAAGATTGATGACATGCACAAGTGCTACCGTATCTACAAAATTGGAGTGTGCTGTGGCCAACTAGGGCTTGGGAGAGAGGAAGGCACAGCGATGAGGGCAGAGGGAGGGCAGTTGTGGTCGCTGCATCGCTGGGCAGGGAGGAAAGCAGTCACTGATCAAGGAGGGTGGTTGCTGTGTCCAGTGAGTGCTAGACTGGGTTGAAGGGAGGAAGATTAGGCTGTGGTACAGAGGGGAAGACAGGCGGAGGAAATGGAGGAGGCTGAACAGATTTGTTGCAGAGCAGCGGGTGAAGTGGAGGGATGAGCTGAGGGCAGGGCACTGCAATCGGTGCTGCTATGCTACCAGCAGCACGGGCATGGCAGTCCGCGTGGTGCGGCAGAAGCAGGCATCCACTCGCCCGCGTGGTGTGTTTACGGGAAAATGCCGCTAACTTGGTAGCTGCGGGCGATGCGCTCAATGGCTATGAGGTACGCTGCCGTGCGGAAGGAGCAGCCCTGGTGGTGACGCACAGGGGGGGGAGAGAGGGAGGGGAGTGAGGGAATGGAAATTGTTAGGATTTGAGAAAGAGAGGTACGGCATTAGGCGTTTAACGAGTGGTTACACCATGTGCTCTGGTAAGTGCATAGGTTGCAGGTTTATGTTGCCACAACGCGTAGAATAGGAGGGTGTGTGATGTGATGTCATGTGACGTGAAGTGAAACGGTGTGATGCGGCGTGTTGTGATCTGGTAGAGTGGGATCTGGTATGGTGGGATGTGGTGTGATGCGGTGCAACAGGCACCTACCCTCTCCTCAGCAATGCGGTCAACGTTCTCCCAGCCCTCGATCATGTGCTCCTCCAGCCCCGACCACACGAAGTCCTCCTCGGTGTTGCCGCGCACGATGGACTGCCGCGTGCTGTCGCTGAAGCGCGCGCCGCCCGCCATTTCCTGTTCCAGGGCGTCCACGAGCTGCTGCTTGCCGCGCTCCTCCATGCGGCGGCTCATGCGCCCGAAGTGGATGTGGTTCAGGTTCTTGAGCCACTCGAAGTACGACACCGTCACGCCGCCCGCGTTCAGCAGCAGGTCCGGGAGCACCACGATGCCGCGCGCCTGCAGCACCGCCTCCCCCGCCGCCGTCACCGGCCCGTTGGCCGCCTCCGCCACCACCTTGGCGCGGATGCGCGCAGCGTTGCGCGCCGTGATCTGCCCCTCCAGCGCCGCGGGGATCAGCACGTCGCACGCCGCCTCCAGGATGCTCGCCGAGTCGCTCACGGTGGTGGCGCCTGCGCAGCCCAGAATGGACCCCCCCGTGCGCGCGGCGTGCGCCTTCACCGCGTCCATGTCGAGCGCCTCGCCCGGCGCCGCCAGCAGCCCGCCGTTCCACTCCGCCAGCCCCACGATGCGGCCGCCCGCGGCCACTATGGCGTCGATGGTGTGGCGCCCCACGTTGCCAAAGCCCTGCACCACAAACGTCTTGCCGCTGATGCCCTCGCTCATGCCCAGCCGCCCCATCCACTTGCCGCTCTTGAAGAACTCCCGCAGACACACAAACACGCCCTGCCCCGTCGCCGCCGTGCGACCTCGGATGCCCCCCTGCAGTAACATGGAGCAGGGAGGAACGGAACCAGTGAGTGATGCACATCATAGTCGTTGTACATGGAGAAATGGCACATTGAAGCGGCACGGTTCAGCGAGTGATGGCAGAATAGTGTGATGGCGGTTCCACCTGGGTGAGTAGCGACTCACCTCTTCCAGCGGCTTGCCAGTGACACACGCGAAGGAGTTGAGGTCGTTGGGGCGAAGCATCTGGTATGTGTCCTGCAGGGATGGGGGGAAAGGAACGAGGCAGAGAAGGGGACGTGTGCTGAGACTATTGTTCCATCCCTATCGTTCTTGTTGCGTAACAGTTACTACTTGTGACGCCGTGTGTGCATAGCGACAGTTGATCCCATCTTTGCATTGCACACACCAGATTCCATGTCACGATCCAATTCCAGATATTGAGAGGCCCATATGCTTATATAGTAATGCCACTTATTGATTGGCTCACCTTGATCCATGCCATTTCCTGCGGGCCAGTGCCGTAGTCGGGCGCAGGAACGTCCTGATAGCGCACCAGGGTGAACAGGGAGGGAGAGGAGGGGGAAAAAGTTATAAGTGGAAGAAAAGGAGGAATCGCGGAAGGGTGATTGGCGGCTTGTTCATTTATTACTGATAGCACGACCCTTGAGAGACGAATCTGATTTGATGTAAGGGCAAGATGGTATTAGAGTGGGCGCGTGTGGAGGCGGCTTACAATGGACGGGCCGATGAAGTTCTTCCTGACGAGCTCCGTGGTGTAGCGCCGCACGATGGCCTCCTTCTCCTGCATCGTGTACTTCTTCGGGTCTGCATGTCGCCCATAGTCGCTCAAGAACGGCGAGACGAAAAACAAAGTCAGATTTTGCAGCTTCTGAATGATGGATGGTGATTCCGCTTGCAAGGAAAGAGCAGAAGAAATCGCTAGTTACTGGTGAAACGGCGCCTCCACCTACCAATCTTGATGCCGCCCTTGGCGCCGCCGAACGGCACGTCGAGCACAGCGCACTTGTACGTCATGAGCGCCGCGAGCGCCATGGTTTCTTCCGCGTCCACCGCGGGAGCCATGCGGATGCCGCCTTTGACGGGCAGGCGGTGGTGCGAGTGCTGCGCGCGGTACCCCTCGACGAGCTCGACGCGGCCGTCGGGCAGCTTGAGCGGAAACTGCACGCGGATGATGGTGTTGCACGCCTTGATCTGCGCCAGAATATCCGGCGACACGTGCGAGATGGCCGCCGCCTGGTCGAAGTACAGATCCACCGACTCCAAAAAGTTGGGCTCGGGGACTTCCTCGGGTTTTGCCGCCTCCTCTGCGGGAACAGAACAGATGTGGCAAGGACGTGACGCGAAGGATGAGTGCTGAGGCGATCAGGATGAGACTTGGCGTTCGTGACGTGAGGAAAAATCTGGAGAGCGAAGGATAAGTTGTGGAACTTACTGGAGGTGGAAGGAAGTTCGAGTTCGCCGGGCAGGGGAGTTGTGGGGCGCTGACACTGGAATGTTGGCATGACGGCCTGAGGCGTCAGGCATTGGACGACAGGAGCCATGGCGATTGATCGTGATTCCCGACAGAAGTCACGTCAGCTTGGTGGCGGTGACGGTGTAATATGTAGTCTAAGGTTGCGATCCGCTATATTTCTCAGCTAGGCAGGAGGCTAGAGATGCGTTCGTGTGATCGGACTTCGGGGGATGGCCTTCACGTGAACAAGCTTGAAACAACGAGATGTGTTGGTGACAATTTCAGCTGGAAGCAAGGGTGAGTGACGAACGAATGATGCGAGAGAAGGGGAACGAAGCAAGCTTTTGGAGGTAACGAAACGAGCATGTCCCCTCGCGCATTTCCTTCCGAACCGCGTTTCGGAAAATGTGGACGTGGACAAGATCGAGCCGCAATATCGGATGGTGCGCTTCGTTCGAGTGGTTAGGACGACCGACGACGAATCCCGGTTTTGTTGCCAACGTCAGCCGAGCTGGGAAACAGTTGGGTTGACTCGGATGCTGTGGTTGATCGAAGGAATTTGTGCGGTGAGGATTTTGCGTGGATTAGCACCACACCCCCGGATATCTGGAAAGGCCAGCTCGACCTGCCAACAGAAACAATCCAAATGCCAGCAATTTCTGCGGCAGCTGACGCGGAAGAATGCGTGGATTCCGGAACCGTGTCACAGCAGTTCTGGTGGCCGTTGTGTTGCCTATATGGAGGTGACATGGCACAGCGCAGGTGTGGAAAACTGGGGATTTTGTTGGCTCCAGAGCCGCAAAACATAAGTTTTCGTAGATCTGTAAGTGTAAGTAGCAGTTACGTTTCGCGATGGGGTGGTGATTTCGCAGAAATCCTTTACTAACCGCCTCTGTTGTGACATATAGGGATGCTATAACTGCATCTGCTAGTACAAATGCGACGGACTTTCTATAAATTCATCCACAACGTATATAATGTTGGCCCACACCCCAGATTGATTACAGCTCAGACCCCAGCGCACATTGCGATGGGCCATGTCATCACAGCGTGTGCACAAATCCCCCTTGACGAGCACGCTTGCTTTCCACGACCCCTCCACGTTCCCGAGAATCCAGCATCACAGACTTCTCCAGCGGGCCATGGCGGCTCGTGCCTTCTCTCGTGGCAGCTTTGCAAAATCTCAGTACCAAATGTCCACCAACCAGTCTCCCAGCTTACGCAGTCACGAATGACCTCAATCCGCGACTCGACGACAGGTTGCCTCTTCTGCCTTTATGGAGACATCTTTCGCAAATCTCTTCACTCGTTCCACTCGCCTCGCATCAATCCGTTTCGTACATCTTTCGCTGGTTTCCGTTTCATTCGACACCTGAAATTGACTCTTGGGAAGGCCGCCAGCTTCCCCTCCACTCCTCTTGAGAACACTCCTCCGCATTGCCTTTTCTGGAGTCGCCGACGGAACCTTCATCTCGGCGTTGATCATCACGGCACCAATCCTTCCAGAGAGTCA